TTGAATAGTAAAAATTTTGAATTTGAATAGTTGTATGATGTGATATAAATAGGTGTTGATGTGATGTTTTGAATGTAAAATTGATTTTTAATATAATATAAAAAATAAAAAATAGGTGTTTGATTTGATTTTTTTTGGGGAAAAAAATGGGATGAATAGTATGATTAAAATCCAATCCTCCAAACAAACACATCCTGTGTTTGTTCTGGGATTGGATTTTAAATACATTATTCATCCAATTTTTTTATTCCAAAAAACATCGAATCAAACATCTATTTTTTATTTTTTTATATTATATTAAAAATCAATTTTACATTCAAAATATCACATCAACACCTATTTATATTGCATCATATACAACTATTCAAATTCAAAATTTTTACTATTCAAAATCCAAAACCTCAAACAAACAAACCCATTATCTATTTTTATTTGTTAACGATAATACTATTCAATTGACACACATATATATATATATATATTAAATAAAATCTCACATTAAAAATAAAAATAAAAATAGAAACCAAATAAACGTGTTATTTAAAACTATCTCTAATTCATAATTCTATTCTCGCAGAATTTACAATACATTTTTTTTTTTATTTTTGCAGAATCTTCTAAATAATTTATCTTCAATCATACCTTTTATTTTTGCGATTACAGTAACTCATCTCTAACTATTCTCTATTTTTACAGGTTAATGAATATTTTATTTTTTATATTACTTTTTAAAATTTATAAATAACATTAAATATTTTATTGTTTTTATATATTTAATTTATAAAAATATTTTAAATATTATATTAATAAATTAAATTTATAACTTTTATTATTATTAAATACTAATATTTATGTAAAATACTATATAATAAATACAATAAAATTAATATTAATTATAAAATTAAAATATAAATATACAAAAATAATTTATTTTATAAATAATAAAATAAAAATTACAAAAAATAAAATAAAATCATAATTTTTAAAATAATTTTTAATTAATTTAAATTTAAAATAAAATAAAAAATAAGAAAAATCATCCTCTCTATTAAGAGGGTGCCCTCTCGTACGAGAGAAAGAATTTACTTCACCTTCTCATTCCAAAGGGTGATGTAAATGATCTATTAATAATATTATAAAATTCCAAAAGATCTTTTAAATGTAAAAATACAATAAAATTAGCATTAATATTTATAAATTTTATGATAAAATAAATATAAATTCTCTCCATCCCGTAAATATAACCCATTTAAATCAGTCACAACATTAAAAAAAATAAAAAAATTATTGAAATATTGTAAAAAGTAAAAAAATAATTAAGAGTATTTTTTAAAATTTAGTTATTAATTGAAAACGATGACGAAAAAATAAATTAAATATAATGATAATTGTAATAAATAAATATTGAATAAAAATAATACTTAAATAGTAAAAACTTGAATTTACTAAAAGTAATAATAAATTAAATTTCACGGAAAAAAATACTTTTACCATCTCAACTCAAAATATTTTTTTACAATTTTAATCTGACTATTCAAAACTATTAATTTCATATTTTAAAACAAATAATCATATATTATATCAAAATATTTTTATTTTTTATTTAAATTACAAAAGTACTATTACATACGTAGAAAAACTTTATATATAAAATAAAAAAAATAAAAAATGTCAATTTTTTACAATGACCAATAAAATACTAAAGTAGTAGTATTTTTTTATACAAACCAAAGAATAAATAGATGGATGTGATATGTTTTTTTGTTTGGGGGATTTAATTTTAAATTTACTATTTATCCTATTTTTTTTCCCCCATAAAATATCAAATCAAATATTTATTTTAATTTTTTATGTTATACTTCCTCCGTCCCACAACTATAGTGTGGGTTGGATTTGACACGAGTTTTAAAAAATATTGATATTATATTGATAGTGGGCAAAAAATATGGATAAAAGATTTTTTTGCCCTTGTAAATGTATTAGTATAAAAAGTAATGGCAATTATGTAATAATAATGAAAAAGTAAAGGTAATTTTATAGTGATATGCTTATATATGAAAATGAGATTATTGTTTTGAGACGAACAAAAATGGTAAACAAGACTATTGTATTGGAACGGATGAAGTATTAAAAATCAAATTTATATTCAAAATATCACGTCAACACTTATTTCGCATCATACAACTATTCAAATTTAAAATTTTTATTATTTAAATCTCAACTCAAAATTCAAAACCCGAAAACGAACACACTTAAATATTATAATCTTGATCGATTTGTACTACTAACATGATTGCATCCACACTATATATGCAATGTATACATTTATTTATTTATTAAGCAGTATATATATATATTTAATGTATTGGTAAAATATTTTGTTTGAGAAGTAGCCAGCAAATTGAGGCATTGGCTCGACATATTTATAATTCTATTTTTTACTATTATTATTTAAATATTTATTTTTTATTATTTTAAATAATTTTTTATTTTTATAATTTAAAATAAAATTTTTAAAAATTTAGAAAAATAAAAAAAATTTAAAAGTTATAATTAAAAATTTAATTTATTTTTTTAAAAAAAAATATATAAAAGCAACGCTATTTTTTTTGGTATCGCTACAGTGCAAATAGCAACACCAAAAAGTGGCGCAAGATTACCCGACGCCAAATAAACCAACTCAGTGCCAATGACTTGTATAGTACTCCCTCCGTCAAGTTAGAAAGTATACATATTTCTATTTTGGGACGTCCAATTACAGAGTAACCATTTCATTAAATACCCAATTTTTTTCATAAATACCTCTAGTTTACATCACATCATTACTTTTATAAAAAAAAAAGTAAAGGCAAAAATGTCATTTTACTATTTTTATCTACCTACTATAATTAAAATAATATTATTCCTTAATCTCCGCATCAAAAATAATTATATACTTTTAGCTTGGACGGAGAAAATATGACTTAGGCATTGTCTGTCACAAATAATTTGCATAATGGGACTTATTTTACCGAACATAGTTTTCAAATTATTTTTTTTTAATGGAAAGTTAACCAAAAATATATCCCAAAAATATTAATTACAAATTTTCATCTTATAAAAATAAAAAATTAAAAAAAATAAAACCAAAAATAAAACCTTATGTTGAACAAAGATACACATACACACATAGTGGCGGTGTGGCCCCCACAGTCCTACTTCGACCTCAAACCGACCGTTACAGCTTACCAAAGCTTGACTGTTTTGCCACACAAAAGATTTTAGGACTATATATATATATATACATATGTCTATTGAGAATATGAGTATAGAAATTTAAAATAATTGGCTCTAATTGTTTTTTTCTTTTTATTATTATTATTTAAATTATTATCAGAAAATACTCTTTCCGTTCCAAAAGAATTTTTTTGTTTTTTTATTTTCGTCCGTCCCAAAACAATTATCATATTTTTTTATTTAGTAATCGTGATCCCCACCTTATAACAAATTTATTCATACTGTTTTAAACTATCTATAATTATTACTATAATTTACTTTTTAAAATCTTTCAAAAAATAAAGATACTCTCAACAAGACGCTTCTTATGGATGGAGGGAGTAGTATATAAATAAAAAAAAAAAAGAGTCGTAAATGGTAAAGCAGTAGGAGCAGTATATATATATATATAAAAGTGTATCGAAATCTCCGCAGTGGTGAGGAGTGAGGACTGCAAGTTCGAATTATTCTTCTTCGACTTAAAAAATAAACACATAATATAGAGTGAGAAACAGTGTCTCTCTGTTTGAGATATATATATATATATATATATTTTCTTCTATTGCTTTTGTCTCTCTCAAAATTTCTTTTTTAAATTTCACGTGGTGTGGCTTTATCTGCCCTCATTGAAATGCACATTACATTCACAACCAATTTTTGATTTAAAAAATATACACTATTTTATATATATATATATGTATATTTTAAAAAAAATTCTATACAAGATTTTTTAAAATACACTATTAATTTGCCTATGGATATCGATCTCTCTCTAGACCCACTCACAAACCAAATTATATATATATATATCTGTGTATCTATATCTGTTTTCTTAAGCTATATGGAGGTGAGTTTGGAATAATTAATTGGATATTTATGGAGGAGGCAATTGTACAGACCCGAGGCTGCAAGTGCAAGCAATAAATAAAAAAGAAAAAAAAAAGTGCAAGCAATAAAGTAAGTTTCTTTTTTATCTTTTTCAAAAAATTATCATACAATTTCAATATATATAGATATATATACATATACAAATTTGTGTAATGTATGAGGGAAAGAGAAGAAGTGTGTGTAAGGGAGATTTTTTTTTTTTTTTTTTTATTTTTAAGAAAGCAAAAGGAAGGTTAATTTTTTTTTTTTTAATTATTATTATTAGTATTTATTTTATTATTATTTTGTTAAAAGGGGGGGTTTGTGTGAGTGTTGCGAGTGTGGGTTGAAAAGGGTTTTTACACGTGATAAAGAGAACATCAAAGGCAGTTGCATGCGTGTACAAAAGATTCATTATCATCATCATCATCTTCTTCATCATCCTCCTCTCTCTCTCTAGAATTCATTTTTTTCCCCCAATTCTTTACACTACAAAATCCTCTCTCTTTCTATCTCTATCTCTATCTCATTATCTATCCAATCTGAAATTTGAACCCACCCCAGAAAGAAGAAAAAAAAAAAGCCCATCTTTTTTGTCATCATCAACGCCATTTTTGAAAACTCTTTTTCATCATTTCAAAATATTTTCTTGATCCCTTTTGGAGGGTGTCTTTTAAGGAAGTAATTAAAGCCCATTTTCTGCAGCAAAGCTTTGATTCAGAAAAAGAAAGAAGAAGAAAGATGCAGTGTTGATTTGGTGAGCATTTCTTGATTAATTAAAATCAAGAAAATTAAAGCTTCGAATTAAGCATTTAATTTGATTGATATATATATATATATATGTTTTTGGTTATCTCTTCCAATGAGGTGTCGTTTTCCATGGCAGCAGTAAAATAAAAATATTTCAAGAAGATGAAAATGGATAGATATGTTTGGTTTGATTTGATTTGATTTGATGAGTTCTTCAATGTTTATTCTCTTCTTTTAATTCTTTAGTTTTAGTTTTATGTGTTTGTATCGATCGAATAACACTCTTTGGTTGCTCTTTTGTTGCTTTCTAGGCGTTTTTATTCTCTTTCTTGAGCAGTCATATTTCTGTCCTCACATTTATTTATGTATATATATATCTATATGTGTCTTTAATTACTATCTTGGATTTATTCAAACTTTTTTCTGATACAAGTCTTGGTTTTGGTTAGGGGACAAGATGAAGGATGGTTTTGTCTTCTGGACATTTCTACTATTTGATTAGATTTCATGGTAACTATATCACCATACATTTTTTTTCTATATTTGTGCACATGTTCTTCATTTTTTCTTTCAAGATTTCATTTTTCATTTATAGGGTTTTCAACCCCTACTTCCCATTCAAATTTCTTTATGGATATATCTTACCATTGCTATTATTATTAATTGATTCATTAAGTTTAAATATATATATTTTTTTAAAATACAATGGAAAGTTTTCTAAACATTAGAAAGAATGGTATAGATCTTTTTAAACTATAAATTCAAGAAAATTTACCTTATTATTATTAAGGACTCCATTTTTGGGATGGGTTTGTTGAAACTTATGTTGGCTATTTTAGCTTTGAGATTTGCAGCAGCAGAAAGAATGGAAATGTCTGTAGTTTGCATTGAAAATAATAATAATAATAATAATTTATTTATTTTTTTTCAAGAAAGCCCATCTTTATTTATTTAATGCTTCCCTTCCCTTTTGCTTTTGCGTGTGGGATTTGCCAGCATTACTATCAAATTTCCATTCTTGAATACATTTTTTCAATTTAGGGCTATCGAGCTGACACACTCAATTTTCCATCTTTGTTTCGATTCTACAGTTCATCTATCCAACCCATTAAATCCCTAAATCCCTCAAAAAAAAAAAAAAAAAAAAAAACCCCAAACTGTTCTATCCTATACATAACAAGAAATTCCCAATATCATCACAACCTTAAATCATGCCAATAAGACCAATGAAAGAGAATTCCGAGCACCACTTGCCAATCAAACCCCAATTTCAAAACCCCACCAAGAACCCACCCAAGATCGGAAAAGTCCCGCCGCCGCCGGCGGCAGCGGCGGCCGCCCAGGACTCGCCGCCGTCAAGAAACCGCGGCCGGAGGAGGAGAAGAGGCGGCCGGAAATCGGACCAGAGCGACTCATTTATGCGGCCGAGTTCCCGTCCATGCACCGCCGCAGATAAACCGCCGGTTCTCGCCCGCGAAACCGGCCAGACCGTTGTCCCGGCGCTTCCCGGTCCGACCGGCCCGGTCCGAAACGACGGCGGGTACCCTTCTTCCAGCAAGTCCTTAACATTCCCTGCCCGGCCTGGTTTCGGGCAGCTGGGCAGCAAATGCATCGTTAAGGCCAACCATTTCTTCGCCGAGTTACCAGACAAGGATTTGATCCAATATGATGTAAGATTTTTCGGAGAAATTAATGATATCCTTACCCTTTTCGTGGCAATTAATGTTATCCTTTTTTGACACATTGTGCCATCAATGAATAGATCTTTGTTTGGTTGGATTTCTTTCTGTAGGTGAGTATCAGTCCTGAAGTGGCCTCACGAGCTGTAAATCGAGCAATCATGGCAGAGCTTGTTAAGCTCTATAAAGAATCTCATTTGGGGACGAGGTTGCCTGCTTACGATGGTCGGAAAAGCCTCTACACTGCCGGAGAACTTCCCTTTGCTTGGAAGGAATTCACCGTTAAATTAGTCGATGAAGATGACGCCATTAATGGCCCCAAGTAATTGTCGCATTACTCCCTCTTTTTTCGTCGAATTGTATGCTCAAATATTAGGTCACAAGTTTTAACTAGAACGGATAATAAACGATACAAAAAAGTAGTACGTTCGTAATATTAGTATTTTAGTATTTGTGAAAAATATTTAGTCGTGTAAAAATAAATGTCGTTACTAAAATGTAATGGTAATGTAATAGTAAAAAGAAAATTGTTCGTTTAGACGGAGGGTTTTGGAGAGTTTTGGAATTTTGAAAGTTTGGAGAAAAAAGTAAAAAGTTACCGTTTGATTTGATATTTTGTGAGAAAAAAAGTATAATTGATGTGACGTTTTCGTAAAATGGATGGTGCCTAATTAATGAAAATAGATGGAAAATTGAATATGTTTTTATATTTTTAAAAAGAAAAGTGAGCATAGATTTAAATATCAGAAAAAGTATGATACGACAATGTGCATTGATCGTCGTTAATTTTCAATGAATTTTATGATTTGTCGAATTTCAGGAGGGAAAGGGAATATAAAGTCGCGATCAAGTTTGTCGCGCGGGCGAATTTGTATCATTTAGGACAGTTTCTTGCCGGAAAGCGAGCGGATGGGCCGAAGGAAGCGCTGCAAATTCTTGACATTGTGTTGCGGGAGCTTTCGATGAAAAGGTACAGAGGAATGATCGATTTTTCGGCTGTTCGATATTCGGTGTGCTGATGCGGCGTTTTGTTTGTGTTAAGAAGGTTCTGCCCTGTCGGGAGATCATTTTTCTCTCCGGAAATCCGAAAGCCGCAACGGCTCGGCGATGGTTTGGAGGCATGGTGCGGATTCTACCAGAGCTTAAGGCCTACTCAGATGGGCTTGTCGCTTAACATCGGTAAATTTGATATCGATTTTAATTTTTGCCACAGTCGATCGAAATTGCTTGTTGAAATTGTTATATTGATTTTACCGAATTACAGATATGGCTTCCGCGGCGTTCATCGAAGCTCTTCCGGTGATTGAATTTGTCGCACAACTACTCGGAAAGGATGTGTCGAGGCCTTTATCCGATTCGGATCGCATAAAGGTCGTTGCTTTGTTGATTATTTACGCATAAGTTTGTCTTTGTTCGTCGCGTCGAAGTAATTCATGATTTCGGGATTTTTTTTGTTTGTTTTTTAGGTGAAGAAGGCTCTTCGAGGCGTAAAAGTTGAAGTAACTCACCGAGGAGAAGTACGAAGAAAATATCGAGTCTCCGGCATCACAACTCAACCTACTCGAGAGCTAGTGTACGTACGATCTCTCTCTGTTTAATTAAATCTATTTTGTAAAATGCCGTGACTTTTAATCTTGTTTTACGTTACTACAGGTTTCCCGTCGACGATAACTCAACCATGAAGTCGGTTGTCGAATATTTTCAAGAAATGTACGATTTCACGATTCAGTATACTCATCTTCCTTGTCTACAAGTCGGAAATCAGAAAAAGGCCAATTATTTGCCGATGGAGGTTCGACATTGTTGTTTCGAATTCGTTGAGCTTCTGTATGATTTGTTCGTTACCGCGCTAACACTTTTTTTTTTGTCTCAGGCATGTAAAATCGTCGAGGGACAAAGATACACTAAGAGATTGAGCGAAAAACAGATTACGGCGCTCCTAAAGGTTACATGCCAAAGACCGCGCGACCGGGAGAAGGACATTGTGCAGGTAGTAAAAAATTATTGTCTATTATATTACGATTATTTTCGATGATATGCGTCAGATGTTTAATGTCGTTGTACTGTACGAATGTAGGCTGTCGAAAACAACGATTATGAACACGATGATTACGCTAAAGAGTTCGGTATACGAATTAGCGAAAAGTTAGCTTCGGTGGAGGCGCGAGTTCTCCCGGCACCATGGGTTAGTTCCTATGTCTGATGCGATTCGCCTTTAATTTCATCGACAAATTTAGCGCGAACCTAACGAGTCGTTTGAATTCAGTTGAAATATCACGAAACCGGGAAGGAAAAAGATTGCTTGCCGCAAGTAGGCCAGTGGAATATGATGAACAAGGTTTCAGTCGTTATCGATTTTTTCCGTATCATATAATTATTCGAAACTTTATATCAAGCTCGCCTTTTTTTTTTTTGTAGAAAATGATTAACGGCATGACGGTTAGTCGATGGGCGTGCATTAACTTCTCTCGGAACGTTCAAGACGGCGTTGCTCGGGGATTTTGCAACGAGCTCGCGCAAATGTGTCAAGTCTCCGGCATGGTAAATTTTTTCTATTCGATTTGAAAAAAAATTACGGTTTTGTATGTTATCCCAATTGTTTAAACTTTACGGTCGCAGGAATTTAATCCCGATCCGGTGATTCCGATCTACACGTCGAGGCCCGATCAAGTCGAGAAATCGTTAAAGCATGTATACCATGCTTGTATGAACAAATTGAAAGGAAAAGAGTTGGAGCTTCTTCTCGCAATACTTCCCGACAACAACGGTTCTTTATACGGTAATCAACGCGCAATGTTTTGTGTTTTAGCGATTATTTTTTGTTTGGCTAATTGTCATTTCTACGTCGTACAGGCGATCTGAAGCGAATATGCGAAACCGATCTCGGGTTGATCTCCCAATGCTGTCTTACGAAACACGTTTTCAAGATTAACAAGCAGTATTTGGCGAACGTATCGTTGAAAATAAACGTTAAGGTACGGATGGTTCGCTCGGATTCAAACTGCGTCGCGTATTTCCGTTTTGCTCGTTTTTATTCGGTGTTTTCTTCTAACAGATGGGCGGCAGAAACACCGTTCTATTGGATGCAATAAGCTGTCGAATACCGTTGGTCAGCGATATTCCGACGATTATATTTGGAGCGGACGTGACGCACCCGGAAAACGGAGAGGATACGAGCCCGTCGATTGCTGCTGTAAGAATTTTCTTATGCAACATACTCGATACATGTTTTCTTAGCCTGGGATGTAATAATTCAATGTATTGATCGATTTCCAGGTTGTCGCGTCTCAGGATTGGCCGGAGGTCACAAAATACGCCGGACTCGTTTGCGCGCAAGCCCACAGGCAAGAACTGATTCAAGATTTGTACAAGACGTGGCACGATCCCGCTCGCGGCACAGTCAGCGGCGGCATGATCAGGTTCGTCGTTAATACATTGATTTGCTATAATCGTCGTTGTAATTTTTATATAACGATCGAATCGATTGTCTCTTTTCGTAGGGATCTTTTGATCTCGTTTAGAAAAGCGACGGGACAAAAGCCGCAGAGGATTATATTTTACCGGTTAGCATCGTCGTAGTTATCGTTGACGTAAATTTATTCGACGCCTAGCTGATTCTTGATTTGAAATTTATAGGGACGGCGTGAGCGAAGGGCAGTTTTATCAAGTGTTATTGTTCGAGCTCGATGCGATTAGGAAGGTCGGTTACATTGTTTTTATGGCGTTTGTGTTATATATTTGATGCTATATCGATGGTTGTCTTCTTACACAGGCGTGCGCGTCGTTGGAGCCGAATTATCAGCCTCTGGTGACGTTTATTGTGGTCCAAAAACGACATCATACCCGACTTTTCGCCAACAATCACCGCGATAGAAGCAGCACTGATAAGAGCGGGAACATCTTACCCGGTAAATTTCGACTCTTTTTTCTACAATTTTTCATAGCAATTAGACTGTTAATCGAATTGAGTAGCTCGCGATCAAAGTTTGACTCGATTCGTTCACAACTCGACTCGATTATTTTATGGCGATAAATGAGGCGAGTTTGACTCGCGGGTGGTTCGACTGAGCTTATTAGTGATATATATTTGTATTATTTTTTTATGTTACGGCAAGCTCGAGCTATTCTTTTAATTTGAATCCTAAATGAGCCGAGTCCGGCCTCTACCGGTAGTATGTTCGAGTCGAGTTCAAACAACTGATACTCGAGCTCGTTCGGTTCGTTTAATAAGTTTAACTGCAAAATGAGATATTTGTATTATTTTATATATTACCCCAAGCTCAAGCTGTAATTTTAGCTTGAATCCTAAATGAGCCGAGTCAAGCCTTTACCTGTAGTATGTTCGGATCGAGCTCAAATAACAGATATATGTCGTTTAGTTTGTTTAACAGCTCTAATTGCAAAGTAATTTCAAATAAATAACAACCGTCTTTCCGCAGGCACCGTTGTCGACTCTAAAATCTGTCACCCGACCGAATTCGACTTCTATCTATGCAGCCATGCAGGAATTCAGGTACGTAAAAATCGATCATACTTTCATGATTTTAAGCTATTAGTAAATCAGAAAATTTATCGATCTAATTCGTTAGGGGACGAGCCGGCCGGCGCATTACCATGTACTTTGGGACGAGAACAACTTCACGGCGGACGGGATCCAGTCGCTTACGAACAATCTCTGCTACACGTACGCGCGATGCACGCGCTCTGTTTCTGTCGGTAAGGCCCCCCGCTGCATATTCTTATCTATCTTTCCGCGTAAATTTTTGTCGTTGTTTCTAACAATGTCGAACTTTTCTGTTTGAGACAGTTCCTCCGGCTTACTATGCGCATTTGGCGGCGTTTCGAGCGAGATTCTACATGGAACCGGAGGTGCAGGAAGGCGGCGGCAATGGGTGCTCCGGGAAGGCCGGGCGGGTCGGCGGTGGCGGCGAGTTCGGCGGCGTCCGGCCGTTGCCGGCGCTGAAGGAGAATGTGAAGAGAGTAATGTTTTACTGCTGAAAGAGGAGGGGGAGAGATGGAGGAGTGAGAGAGTAATTAGGGTTTAAGGTAGTTAGGGTTTAGGTGATACGGCGTCGTTTCGGTTCGTATGTACGTTAGTCTCTGTGTACTGTTGGTATGTACTTTGTATATATTAGTTGGGTTATTTCGTGGGTTTTAAAAAAGATTTTTAATACTCTTTTTTTTTTTTTCAAAAATATTAAATCAAATAATTTTTTTTTATATTATATTACAAATTTATTTTATATTAGAAATATCACATTAATATCTATTTATATCGTACCAAATAATTATTCAAATTCAATTTTTTACCCTTCTTAAATTCAAATACAAAAGTCCAAATCCACAAACAAACACACCATTTTTAATTTTTAATTAGTGAATATAATTAATTTATTAATGCAGGGAGACTTGAGATCATTAGAATGTTAAAGTAGTTATTAATTTTTTTATTATTATTTTTTTACTACTCTCCCCATTCCAGGCTGTTCATTTTTTTTTATTTTCATCTGTCCACTTTCCTTTTATAAAAAACATTATATATTTTAATCTCATTTTAAAATTTTAATTATATTAATTAATTATCTTAATTTTAATTTAAAATTATTTTTATTAAATAATAATTATTTTTACTAATATATTTTTAATTATTTATTAATTATACATCTTCTAAATTCTCGTGTTTACAATAAAGGGACACTGTGTCATCTGGGACGGAGATAATATTATTATTATTTATTATTATTATTTTTAAATTTATTTTATTTCGATGGTGTTCTTTGTATTTTTTCAGTTCTTGCTTTTTTCTTTTTTAAAAAAATATTACACCTTCTACCTAATATATTTGGTGGTTATATTGCGATTTTAATCTCTATATTTTTTTTTTGACTCATATATTATATTGAAAAAAGTTATATATTTCAAATATATTATATATTTTTTAACTTAATTTTTTAAAAATTAATTAATTATTTTAATTTTAATTTATAATTATTTTATTATATTATAGAGTTATTTCTTTTATTTATATATTTTTTTAGTAATTATATCAGTCTTAAAAGAGGTAGATTGTAGCCAAAAGACCATCAAATTATATTTGGTTTAATTGATTAAAAATTTGTAGATTATCTTATACTCCTATATGATATTATATAGAATTGTCTGATTTTTATAAGAGTGTGTTTGTTCGGGGAATTGGATTAGATTTCTACTATTCATTCCATTTTTTCTCCCAAAAATATCAGATCAAACATCTATTTTTTATTTTTTATATTATACTAAAAATCAATTTTTCATTCAAAACATCGCATCAACGCCTATTTATATCACATCATACAATTATTCAAATTCAAAATTTTTACTATTCAAATCCTAACTCAAAATCCAAACCCCAAACAAACACACCCGAAGTTTATTGAAGATAGACATACCATCAAAAGGTTAGAAGCCCTTCCAACAAACTTTTAGATAAAATTAATGTCTCAAATAAAAAAAAAAATAAAATTGTGAAACCATTAATGTGAGATAGTACTGTTCTTTTTTTTTTTTTTTTTCATTTAACTCGGAATAACAAAAAAAAAAAAATATATATATATATATATATAAAATATCATCCCAAATATATGTTCTAATATTGAATTAGGACTCAAATATTAGGAATTTAAAGTCTAAGGTGTGTTTGTTTGGGGAATTGGATTTTAAAAATATACTATTTATCCCATTTTTTTCTTCCAAAAATATCAAATCAAACATTTATTTTTTATTTTTTATATTATACTAAAAATTAATTTTACATTCAAAATATCACGTCAAATTCAAAATTTTTACTATTCAAATCTCAACTCAAATCCAAATCCCAGTCAAAATCCCAACTATGGATTGAGTAAAGCCCGCAACGATTAATTGGGTTGGTTAATCCTATAATAAATCTTTGAGACAAAAAAGATTTTCATTTAGTTTCAAGGCTTTCTGAACTAGCTTTTATTTTTTTATTTTTCAGAATCATTAGTAAAAGATTTTTTATTTTTATTTTTATATTTTTATTTTTTAATCTTTCAACATGTAAACACCTTATGTAAAATTGTATTTCATCCGTCCACATCTAAGAGTCATATTTACTTTTTGTGTCACTGTACTAAACATTAAAAATACTTTTATATTTGTATAATTTTTTTATACAATTGTCCTTCTAGTAGTATTATAAGACATTAATGAAAGTATTTTTGTATTTTTTTTTTCTTAATTTGTACTACATTTTGAAATCTATTAATCAATGTTCACTTGGCTCTAAGATTACAATACGACAAGATGTGCCGACTAGGTGGAATTCTACATAGTTGATTATTTTCATCTGCCTTGTATTGTAAGCTTGCCTTAATTCACTTGAGGTTGAGTGATTTTAATTTTAAGTATTGTTCAATATCCGGTGAATGGACAAGGATTGAAATATTATATTCCTTTCTTAAGGTGTCTTCTTTTTTTTTTTCTAATTTATTTATGGTATGAAGTATCCTAATGCAAATTTGCTCTTTTATTTTGTTTTTAAGATTGAAGTCACATTGTATCAAAGGTTGTGTGGTAACAATGAATTCTTGAAGACAATGACATCTCATATGTTTAAAAAATTTGACAAATATTGTAGTGAGTACAACATTTTGTTTGCTATCGTAATAATATTTAATTCTAAATTCAAGTTGAATTTTGTGAAATTTTCATATTCTAAACTTTGTGGGCAAAATAATACAAATTTTGAAAAAATAAAGTCTAAATTATTCACTATGTTTGATGAGTACATGAGTGAATCTAGCAAGTCTAGTACTTCTATGTTTAGGGGAACTTTAACTTTTGAGGAAAGTACCGATGCAATAAAGAAAAATGATCATCCGGATATTTTAAAGTTATTTTTATTTTGAGTATTTTTAATTTACTTATATGTATGATTATTTTATAATAAGATTGTATATTTAAAAATATTAATGTCTTTGATATTATTTATAATTACATGAATTTTACTCTTTTGACCTTTTGAGCCTCAAAAAATGAGCAAAACGAATGAATCGAGTGGTATTGGAGGAATCAAGAATGAATCATTATCATTCCTTTGATGTTTTGAATTATTGAAAATTTTATGATTGTAGATATTTTGAAGTGGCGAAGATGAGACAAAATATATTGAGTGTACCGATTTCTACTGTTACTTTAGAGTCGACATTTAGCATTTGTGGAAGAATAATTAATCAATATCATAGTGCAATAAAACCAAATGCAATTGAAACATTAATTTGCTGTAGAGATTGGTTAATGGGGCTAAATGGTTATTTATTAAAATCCTTTTAGTATTAACTTTTATATAAATTATATTTAAATTTAGCGTTTACTTTTATTTTATATATAGAAAATAATGAGGTTAAGTTAGATGATTTCACTTATAATGTAATGGAGATGTCTTCGAATGAAATTGCATGAAATACGAATTGAATACGTAGATATGTCTCATTTTGAGGAAGATGTAAGTAATTATCAATACTTAAATTTATTCTCTCGTATAAATCGGTACAAAAAAACTCTAATGTAATAACTCGTTCATATTAGAAAATACAGTTGTAGTTGTTGTTGAAGTTTTTGTTGCTTTTGCTAAAATGCATAGGGTTAGAGAGAGCATATGAATGATGTTGATGTTGATGTTGATGTTTCGGTTATTGATGAATTAATATTGTTGTTGCTTCTTTATATTTATGTTGGTCTTAATGAATTATTAATGTTGTTGTTACCCTTGTTTCTACGTTGTTAATATTTTTATACATATGCTTCTAATGGTGTGTTTTTGGGTTATTTATAGATTTCATGGAATTAGGCAAAATTTGGGGTATATTACGGAGCAAGGGGCAAAATGCAGAACATACTTAGACGTGATGATGCATAAGGACAACATAGTGGGAGAAGAATAAAAATTTACAAGAAAGCCTCCGGGGCAAATTGAGATTTAAAAGTCGTTGGGTCTTTGATTGAAATGAGGCTAAGACTAAAAATTTAAAAACACAATGTGCAATCGAAGAGAGAGAAGAAACGCATCATCACGTTCTCACCCACGACATCAATCTTTGGAGGGGAAAAGAGAACGCAAACAAGAAAACAATGCAGAAAACTCCAAAAAGCGGTGCAGACAGAATTTTCGGGTGCTCCTACTTCATTCTTAGAATTTGTTTTTCTTTGTCGAGTATCAAATTGAAGACATGATGTTGTTTCTATTTTGTCTTAAGTTTGTTATTTATATGGATTGTGAGTAGATTTTATTTCTAGCGTAGATGTGAATTGATGTTTGAAATTGAAATTGTGACACTTGATTTTGTTGAATTTGATGTTTATTGATGTTGAGTATTTTTAATTCTTCTTGTCTATGAATTGATATTTGTGCGCGTATTTATTTTGAGTTTTTATAGCTACATTGGAGATTGATATCCGTAATTATGTAATCTTCAATTGGAGTAGCAACTTAGATGAAAAATACTTTAGGGTTGTACCTAGGATTTTCACTTAATTAGAAAAATAACTAATAGTCTTACCTTAACTGTTGAAAAAGTAAAAGAATGTTAGTAATGAACGTCTGTAGATCAACTATAACCAATTTATCAAACTAATCAATGAACTTGATTGTTAGTCGATGAATAAATTTTCTATCATAAACAGAAAACTCAAGCCTATGCTAGAGTTATCTTTGGAAAATTAATCATCTTGCATTTTAGTTTATTTATTTAATTGAGTTAATTTTATTTTCTCTTGTTTAGTGTGCTAAACTAAAATCCTCCTATATATATATATTTATAATAATATAATTATATTCAACTAAGTGGTCAAATCGTTACTACGAGGCGACTCTACTTACCAGCATTACTGAATGTGCATATTTTGTGAAGTAGAAACTAATATTTTATATTACAGTTGTGTGACAGACTACCAGCATTTTGATCGGCTAAGGAGTTTTCTTGTTATAATTACAACATAGTCTAATTATATAGATTAATTAAATAAGACATAACCATGACAAGTAATTAGTTACACATTATTTTCTCACTCTTATATTAATCACACGTAGTAAACACAGTCTTAGGGTTTAATTAGGGTTTGATATATCGAATCATTTTCTTTGTGAAGCTATTTATCCTACATAGAATGA